TTTTTCTAACCCCAAGTGTAAATCATACCAATTAAGGCTCCATAAGTTTGTTTTGGGAGAGAGAATGTTTTCAAGGTGCTAATCAGAATTGTCTTGGTTATGCAGCATTTTCTTGACTGCGGCTTTGGGAATGCCAGAAGCCCTCATCCCGGTTCAGCTTCTGTGGGTTAACCTCATGACAGATGGTCCCCCTGCTACAGCTCTCAGTTTCAACCCTCCTGACGTGGATATCATGATGAAGCCACCGCGCAAAGCTAAGGAGGCTCTCATCAGTGGCTGGCTATTCTTCAGATACATGGCTATTGGAATCTATGTTGGAGTTGCTACTGTAGGAGCTTCAGCTTGGTGGTTTATGGTTTATGATAATGGTCCTAAAGTTTCTTATTATCAATTGGTTAGTGGATGTATTTATACAATGAGCTTAACTAAGCACCTAGTTTGATTAGCTCTTACCTGTGATGTATTCGAAGACAGAGACGTAAATGATTTCACCATTAAGAATGTTTTTCTTTTTTATCGTACAAAACAAGTAGGTTCTATGTCACTGTGCATCTGTTCGGTAATCGATCACATAATTTTCAGGTTATTCTGCAGATTCTCCAGCTATTTTTTATTTCTATTTTATTTATTTTTTTTTTTTGTATGATTTATTTTTGACCTAGACTGTTTTTGATTTAGACGTGGGGAATTTTCTCCTGCTATGTCATTTCTTAAATCTGGGATCAAATTCAGTTCACAAACTGACTGCCCATGATGACCCCCTTTATCCATATTCTGTGCAAGGTCTTGTCAGAGATAATTGCCAACCGTGGTTTTAGTTTGACTGAAATGGTTTTTGTTTTTGTTGATGTTTAGACACACCACATGCAGTGCACAACAGATCCTTCAAACTTTGTTGGTGTTGATTGTCACATTTTTAGTGACCTTCACCCCATGACTATGGCACTTTCAGTGCTTGTCACAATAGAAATGTTCAATGCCCTTAACAGGTAAGTCTACAGTACATGTTTCATTCAGTGACTTGTCGACATCTTTTTTCTTCTGGCAATATGAATACATTGTAGTGCAACGCACATTAGATTTATAATGAGAAATGACAATACTTCCTGCAATAACACCTATTCTTGTTTTGCCAATGGAAATAGATATTTTGAGTTGGTTTTTTTTTTCTTTTTTCTTCGTTTATGGTGAAACCTCCTGGCACTAATAGCAGCAACCAAAATTAGGAGATATTTTTTTAACCTGGACTTACATGTATGACACTACTGTCGCATTTTGTTTGCAGCTTGAGTGAAAATCAGAGTCTTTTTGTCATGCCACCATGGAGGAATCCTTCCCTTATCACAGCAATCATAGCATCATTTATTATGCACTTTGTCATTCTTTACTTCAAGATTACAAATGTAAGTGTTTGTGACCTAAATATTGTTGCACTCTAGAAGACTTTTGTGTACTTCTGTCTCACCAGCATGTTTGCTGCTACATGACTCTCAAATTCAAAATTCATGGGAAATTTGATGCACATCAGCTAGAGAAAGCTGTGTTAATACTGGCCAGATCAGTTCAAATTATTAATGAATGCATCATTAATTATGATGAATTTTACTACTGGGTTATTCAAGAGAATTTATTCGTCAATCAAACCTCATTTGCTCTGGAAATCTCTTCTCAGGAAATTAATTTCAAAGGTTGTGCAGAACTGCAAGTTATGGTTGTCTGAGCAATAACTTTTGTCCTATTGATTATTATTTGCATCCTTAACTCCGTAATGCCCCAGATGTGATTGTTAATTTTCCCTTCTACCTGCTGCACAATCACTTGTAAATTTGTTACGAGACTTTGGTGTTCAATCAAGATAACAACTTCTACCAGATAAGTTTGAGTATTCACATTACCTGTTTGCTGAATCATGTGTGGAGTTTGTGGGGAGAAGTTATATGTTAATCTCTTGTGGGAGTTTAAAGGGTTAAGCGAGTTGTTTTTGTTGCAGACAATCTTCCGTATTACTCCTTTGAATTGGGAGGAGTGGGTAGCAGTTCTTTACTTCTCCTTCCCTGTCATTATACTGGATGAGATTCTAAAGTTCGTTTCAAGACAGATAGGTACCGGTATATGCTTTTTATTCTACAGAGTGCAATAGGTGTTTAATCTGGATAATATGACCCCCTAGCAGAATTTTTAACCAGTTATTTCTACAATATGCAAATAACCCAGAAAAACCTGAGTTGGGCGGGGAGTGATTGTCTCAACACTTGAAAGGTTTTCAACTATGAGGGGAATTGTTATGTTGTTGAAAAAAGAGGAACAAATATTTACTGTTGACTGTCTAGTGGGCATATTTCCAGGCCAGTGAAGGCCTAATGTTTCCATCCATGTAGAAGCTGCTATATTGCAGTGACAAAAGTAATGGGGAGTGACAAGAGGCTTAAATTAAAGCTGGTTATTACTGCCTATGAGACTCTCTTGTTCCTTCGTTTAAGCAGGCCCTCAGCCCCCTCCC